GAAAATCCTCTGTAATGGAGGTAAGGTGCTGGATCCTTTTTTAAAATGGGAAGTAGCTAATGGGAATTCAATCAATGTATTCAAGGATAAGTGGATACTTGATAAGAGAATCAATGAGTGGCCTACTTTTGTAGTTCCTCAATATGAAGAAAATAATTTACTGAATAGATTCATTAAAGAAGGAAGCTGGAATAAGGAGAATTTGAAGCAGAATTTCGGTGAAGAACTGATAAATCTCATTCTTAATATTAAAATCAATCCTAATCAGATTGAAGATGTTAGAGAACTCATTTTCCAAGACCCTGGGAAGTCTATTCCAGGGATGATCAACGAATTTCAGCAACAGGAAGAGGACTGGGAACCTTTTCTCTGGATAAAAAAGGCTAGAATTAATCCACGGGTGCAGACTTTCATTTGGAGGTTGTTTAAAGGTGCATTACCAACGTTCCAATTTCTTGCTCATAGGAGGTTGCTGGAGAATAATGAGTGTCTAAGATAATCTGTCGGAATTGAAGATTTGGAACATGTTTTTTTGCGGTTGCATTAGAATCAAGGAGATTATCAGTAATCTAAACAAATGGGGATTTCAACTGCCGGAGTTCAATAGCTTCCAGGATTACTGCAGGTGGATTCGCATCATACAAAAGAATGATGGTATGATTCTAAATCTCTTCTTCAATATGGTGTACTTCTCATGGAAGACTAGGAACAAATTGATTCATGATAACATTACTGAAAGTGCTACTTCAATTGCTATTCAAGCATTTTGCCAATCTTCGTACTCCAATTTGATTTTTAATCAATTTCCGAAATCAAGGGATGTTAATCAGTCTTGTAGACTGTTGAATGCTTGGCATCCCCCTCCACCCGGTTGGTTAAAGATCAATGTAGATGCTTCTCTTGGTTCTTCTTATAAAGCAGGAGTTGGAGGTATTATCAGATATTACAAAGGAAGATTCTTGCTGGCATTTGGGAATTCTTGTATCCATTGGGACATATACCAATTGGAATTTATAGCCATCAAAACTTTGAAGAATATAATGAAAGATTGGATGTTCAAGTTCAAGGGAGCTATTATTGAGAGTGACAACTACAATGTCATAAAGGTGATTCAGAAGTCTAAGGATCATGGCTTCAAGTATTCAGATGAGTTAAATTTTTTCAAAGAATTTAATTATGTTATTTTTAAATACATTGATAGAGAAGGAAATAAGCTAGCTGACTTGTGTGCTAGCTATGGTCTTCTTAGTAGTTTTATTTAGGAAGATATTTCTTTGGACATGATTCCTCCTTCATTTGTTCAAATAATGACAGAGGAATCTTCTTTGTAGTTCTTTTTTATTTTTCTTTGCCTTTAATGCATTCATGCTGATTTCAAAAAAAAAAAAAATCCAAGGCTAAGGGCCTAGATCCTGAAAGCCTTTCCTAGTGTTTTTTTTTTTAAACACATCAAAACCCAATAAATTAACCCCTAATTAAGAGTCTATCAATCACATATTGATAAGACATACCTCTAGGGTCAAACCTCCAAGTTTGAGCTCAATTTGATGTCTCTAGCCTCATAAATTATATCCATTTCCAAACGCTGCAAAACCTTCAAATATTTATGGTTTATGCCACTCGACATTTCACCCAATGGAGTTTGACCTTGGACCCCCCAAACCTTTGATCACATCTAGGCCTTTGATATTGACATGTTAAATATCACTCTATATTTTTTTAGACTCACTTTAACCCAGAATTAACCAGAGGTCAAAATGACCAGAATGCCCTTTAAGGGGATTTTTAGACTTTTGACCAAAATTTCAATGTGGTTTAACTTCACCAACCTTTGAAACCTTTTCTAATAATTTTTAAATATCAATTGGGACTTAATAAACCAAATCCTAGAGTTCGGGTCAACTTGGTTGACCAGGTCAACCTTAGTCGACCTAAAAAGTCCCTTAAGGGTCAAAACAACCATTTTGACTAAAATTATCTCCCCATGCCTTGGAACCACTCCCAGCATATTCAAAATATCCTTTCAATTTTTGTGATCCCAGGCATAGCCCCTAGGTCAACCTGGTTGACCAAGTCAAACAAGATTGACCCAATAACCCATTAAGAGCCCAAAAAGGTCATTTGATCCAAGTGCCCTTTCCATACTTTGAGACTACATCCATCAAACTCCAAATGTCCAAATAAATCCTTTGGGCCCAAAATTAGATCTTTGGTCAACCAAGTTGACCAAGTAAACCTAGGATGACCCATTAACCATTAAAGGGTTTAAATGGGTTAATCCAACCCATTTTGACCTTTTCAACAAATATCACCCCTTCAAACCAACTCCTAATCATAGCCTAAGCATGTCTTAGTCTTTGGTCAACCAAACCCAACTTGCATTGACCAAGTCAACTTTTAATCCTTGGTCAAACCTTTGTGCTCTATGCTCTAACTTACATTTGCTTTGACCTTGATCTTTGACCCTTCCTTAAACTATCCCAAACAGCTCCCTACACCTTCTAAGTGATACATCATCAGCCTTGACCTTGTTGACTGGTCAAAGTAAGTCAACAAGGCACTTAAACCTCTATTAAAGTAGTCAACCCTTCCCTTTGACCCCAAAAACATTGGCTTTGGGCTTGGGGTTCACCCAACCTGCTGCTCTCACCCCGACTATACCATCTCATCCTACCTTGATTGGTTGAACAGTTAAGATGGTCAATAAGTACCCAAAGTCTTTCTAAAGGGTAATAGTCGCATGCAATCCCACTTCCCTCTGATTGTGGTGGCTAGGTTAGTCCCAAGTATGTCTTAAAGTACTACTCCTAAAGCTCCTAGATCGAGCTTAGGGCCTGGTTTAGCCTAAAAGGGTAGTGGTCCCCCCCCCCCCTTCCCCCCACACACACACACACACTCATCCCAAAACCATTCAATGGAAGCAAGGCCACTCCAGCCTTTGGCTCAGCCTTCCAATGGTTTGGGACACTTGTCATTATTCTAGGGAGGGTCTCTGATTGATCAAGACCATCCCTTTGAGTCCATATCACTTGAATAGCATAAAATCCCATTTTGGAGAGACATTCATCACCTTGCACTCTCTCACTTCCTCCAGCCTCCAAGCTCTAGATCTCTTGATCTCATTTCAACTCTCAAACCCTCTCTACCTTCTCACTAACGAACCCAAGTGGTTGCACGTTGTCGGCAGTGACTTTTTCGATGAATAAAGCACCTAATCCATCCTAACCTCATAGCCATCAATCCAGACATTTTTGGATGAGGATTTCTTTAAGATATTTATACGAGAATAGTCTACAAGCTCAACCGTATAAAGATACTGATAATCTAATGGTAAAATATCCTAAAACCCTTAGCCTTAGGTCATAATAGTTAGGTTTAATTAATTTCTTGTTTAGCACAATTCAGGCCATATGAACATATCCCCATGGTTTATGTTCATAACCTTAAGTTATGTTTAAAATCTCATGTGTTTTGGTGTGTCGGGTTGAGAGAATGAGAGGAAATTTGATTTCTAGAGCGTTTTCGTGGTCTAGCCCAGGTGTACAAAATGTCAGTCGTTAATTTCATGATCAACAGATGAGATTTCATCATACCGCGCTCTGTTTCAACCGTGTATCTAGTGGTATGCCATGATATCCATCTGGCTTGATCTGGGCTCTCCGTTTCAAACAGTGGAGATGGGTTTTCCACTATCCGACCTCATTCGATAAATTATAGCGTCGCGTTTGGCAATGATTGCCAATGATTGTCACGGTGTAACCATTGGCCATCAATGCCTTCCCATTAATGTGGTTTTGATCCCGCAGCTTAGGCAATGCCATGCAGCACTCGTCGGTTACCGGGAGCTTGATCAGACGCCCCGAATCTGCCATGTGGCCCGCCATTAACTTGATTTAATTAATATGAATTATATTTTAAATGCTTTTAAATTAAGAGAAACTTCCAAAAAAAATATTTTAAAAAAAATTATTTATCCAAAAATTACGTTTTATATATCAAATTGCTAAGATTTAAATCTTCTTTGATTTAAAATTACAATAAATATAAAATATTTGATATATTTTTAATTATTTTTTATACTAAAATATTAGTATTTTAAATAATATTTAATTACACTAAATCAAAAAAAATTTCAAAATCTTAGTAATATATTTCAACTGTGTTCTCTAATTTGCATAAAACATTTAAAAGTTATATTAATTTGATTTTAAACAATATTTAATGATAATTATATTTAATTATGTTAAATTTATATTTAATCAATGGAAATATTCAATAAATAAGTAAAAAATTTTAAATTCAATAATAAAGACTTAATATTTCACATTAAGATTTTCTACAATTCAAAATACTTTAATTTTATATAAAATAATAATAATAACGATTTAAAATATTTTGAATATTATGAATAAGGTTTAAATAATCAAAATATCCAAGCTTTTAATTAATATTTAATTAAAATTAAATTTAGATAATCTTGAAAATTTAAAATTTTTATCATTATAAAATTTCTGAAAACATTTAACATTTAATCTAATTCAAATGTATTTTAAATATTAATTATCTTTTTTTTAATACATTTGGTTATTTGGAACTTTAAAAATTAAAAAGAAATTCAATATAATTCAGAAAAATATAAATAATATTTTTTGGATATTTTAAATACTTTAATTTAACATTAATATCCTAAACAACCTCTTCTGTCGTCTTCTTCTTAACCTAAGGCTGACCCAGTATTATAAATTAAACATGTACATTCTTATTGCATTCCACATCATTTTCCATCATTCGGAAGAATATGGCAACTTAATTTTCCAACGCTCTTTTGTTTTGCATTTGGCTGATGCCCTTCCAATATTGATTTCTCATGCCATTTCAAACCTAGTTTAAGAATTACAGCTTTAACTTAACCGGGGGCACAACTCCTATTTAACACAGCAAAACCAATAGCCAAAGCACAATAAAGTCACATTTCTGTTTTTCATTTATAAACACAGTTAATGGCAACTGAAACAACAAGAAAGAAGCATATTACGCTGGAGGAGCTTCGGGAGCACAGCTCCCCCTCCGATCTATGGATCTCCATCCACGATAAGGTCTACGACCTCACCCATTGGATCAGAGACCACCCTGGTGGTGGTATACCCCTCCTCAACCTTGCTGGCCAGGACGCCACTGACCCATTCACCACCCTCCACCCTCCCTCTGCATGGAAGCACCTCGACCGCTTCTTCATCGGCTACCACCTCTCTGATAACCAGATATCTGACCTCTCCAAGGACTACCAGCTCCTCATCTCTGACTTCACAAAACTCGGCCTTTTCGAACAGAAAGGCCATGTTATCCTTGTTACCCTCTGCATCATATTCGCTCTGTTCTCCATCGCCGTCTTCTTCGTCATCGGTACCACCAGCCTCTGTGCCCACGTTGCTGCCGGCATTTTGATTGGTTTTATATGGACCCAATCAGGTTGGGTGGCCCATGACACGGGCCATGCCACTGTCATGTTAACACCATGGCTCAACCGCATAACGCAGCTTTTATGTGGTAATTGCCTTACAGGGGTAAGCATTGGATGGTGGAAGAGAACCCATAATGCACACCATGTCGCTTGCAATAGCCTCGACTTTGATCCCGATTTACAGCACATCCCTATCTTTGCTATTTCAAGCAAGTTCTTCAACACCCTCACTTCTTACTTTTATGAAAGAAAGATGAGGTATGATACTATAGCAAAAACTCTCATTAGTCACCAGCACTGGACATTCTACCCTGTGATGTGCTTCGCAAGGTTGAATCTCTTTGCACAGTCCATAGTTCTTCTTCTTTGGAACAAGAATGTGCCTAACAGATTCCAAGAGATACTTGGGGTGATGGTGTTCTGGGTATGGTATTCTTATTTAGTTTCATTTCTGCCTAATTATGGAGAAAGATTGCTGTTTGTAGGAGCTTGTTTCGTTGTTACTGGGATTCAGCATGTTCTATTTTGTTTGAGTCATTTTTCTACTAGGGTTTACGTTGGGCAGCCTCAGGGGAATGAGTGGTGCAAGGTACAGGCGACTGGGTCCCTTAATATTAGGTGTTTTCCATGGATGGATTGGTTTTATGGGGGGATTCAGTTTCAGGTGGAACACCATTTGTTTCCTCGGCTGCCAAGGTGTCATCTTCGAAGGATTGCTCCATTGGTGAGGGAGCTTTGCAAGAAACACAAGTTGCAGTACCCGAGCATTGGCTTCTGTGAGGCAAATAGAAGGACTTTGGCGACTTTGAAAGATATTGCGCTCCAAGCCAGGAACATGGAGGTTTCGGGGGCCAGGAATTTGGTGTGGGATGCTCTAAATACCTATGGTTGATATGTATATATATATATAAACATAATCTTCTGCGATCAAATTTGAAAATTTTGAATGAGTCTCTAAGTACATATTGCCCATCCGTTTACTCAATCTCTTGCCATAAGTTCTCATAATAATTTTTTATAGACTCAAGATTTTGTTTGGGATTATTTTTTATTATTTCTTAAAATAAAATTTTAATACAAAATTTTGAATTTTTTTTACTAAAACTTTGTTTTAATAAGCAATAATATATATATATATATATGCCAAGATTTTGATCTTTGTTTTGAATAACTTTCTAGCTACTTTTTTATTTTTAGATAATTATAATTTTATTGACAATTACTTTTTTATTGCTCATTAAATTTTTTTGTGGTAAAAATTTAATTTTCACAATTAGAAAAAGTTACTTTTCTCACAAGAATTTTACAATCAACTTTATAAAATATTATAGCCATCCCAAACAAGCCTTCAATTGATTCGTACAAATATCTACAAATTCTCATTTTCTTAATTGCGAAATTTTTTTTATTATTATTGAAATCCTATAAGGGCTTACACGTTAAAAAAATGATTACAAGTTTTTAGAGAGATCGATCCAAAACCCAATAATGCACAAAGAGCTAGCTACAATGAAAAGAATAATAAAAATCTATAGAGTAAATGATCCCTATCTATTACAAAAATCAAATAAAAGGAAAAGCCTACCGTAGAATAAAAGCCCCAGCTTGAATCAGCAACAAATACCAAATGGGTTCCTGCAGAAAGAAATGAAGCAAGAAAAAGCAATAGAAAAAATTACATTTGCCTGCATCAATTTATTTACAATATTCCAACTATGAACATCATATCTTCAGTTAAAGGCAGCTTATGGAGGAAGGATATCATGTTCATTTAAAAGATAATTTTCTCTTCATAAAAGACAATATGATCAATTTTATTATAAAGGTGCTAATATAAAAAATATGTAATATTCTTGTTATATATTCAAAATGAAGTTGCCAAGTGTCTCAAAGCTTATTATAAAGATATTTCTTGGTAATGGCACATTCAATTCGAGCATCTCAACTATGGAGGACTATAAAAATGTTTAAAGAAAAAAATGGTGAGAGTGTTGCTTTGTATCGAACACCGTGAACAATTAAGTGAAGCATGTCTACTCGAAAGGTATTTAAAAAAAAAAAAGCTTTCCAAGCGAATAAAGTTCAAGAGCCTGAAAGCCATTAGAGCTCATATATACATATATTATTAGAAAGCTAAGCTCACATGGTAAGAATAACTATTCATTTTCTTCATTTATGATTTTTAATAAAAAATATGGGTGTATTTCTAAAAATAAAAATCATAGGTCTTTAGAGTATTCAAGAAGTTTATGGCTGTCATTGAGAAAGAAATTTGACTCAAGAGATAGGAGTAGGTGGAAAAGTGACTTTACCCTTAGAGATAGGATACGAAATGAGCATACACGTGAAAAGGTTGGAGTTGCTCCAGTAGAAGATAAGATTAGAGAGAGTCGCCTTAGATGGTTTGGTCACATAAAAAGGTGGCCTTCCGATGACTCGGTTAGGAGAGTAGAGGTTTTAGATTTGACTTGTGTTAAGAAAGGTAGGGGTAGACCTAAAAAGTCTTGGTTAGAAAATATTAGGAATGACCTTTTTTTATTAGATTTAAATGAGATTTTGACTTTTAATAGGACACAATGGAGAAAAATGATGCATGTAGCCGACCCCACGTAGTGGGATAAAGGATTGATGTTGTTGTTGTTGTTGTTGTTGTATCAGAGCCATGTAATCTGATTGAGGAGAAGAATTCACATTAAAAGAATTTTATGAAGCTAACGAGATACATTGATATCTAACTATTTTAAGATCCCCTCAGCAAAAAGTAATAGCAAGAAGGAACAATATAACAATCCTTAACATTACGAAGAAAATGTTTAAAATAAGATCTTATTGAAGGAATTTTAAGCAAAATAAATTGTATGTGCAGTTTATTCGACAATCAATTGCTAATAAGAACTGTGTGTAGAGCATGGAATGGAAGAAAGCCTGGCATCTCCTGGTAAGAATAACTATTCATTTTCTTGTTTATTGATTGTGAGCCCATGGATTTCCAAGAAGCCATACAAAGTAAGGAGTGGAAAATTCTATGGATAAAAATATCAATGCAATTGAAAAGAATAACTCTTGGGAACTAGCTTAACCTCTAAATGAAACAAAGTGATTGGTGTAAAATGGATGTAAAAAGAAAAGGAGAATGCCAAAAAAGAAATTGAAATATACAAGGCAACATAGTGGCAAAAGGTTACAGTCAAAGAGCTAGCATAAAGTATAAAGAGATATTTGCTTCCATTGCTCGACTAGAAATAATTAGACTAATCTTTTTTTATTGGAGCTAAAAATAAATGTATAATACATGAAATGGATATAAAATTTACCTTCCTTAATGTTTTTAAGGATGAACTCAACATTCTAAAGCCACCAAGATTATAAATCAAAAGACAAGATGACAATGTTCTAAAACTAAGGAAGGCCCTTTATGGTTTGAAGCAATAATCAAGAGCATGGAATGGAAAATAGACAATAACTTATAAGAGAAATGTTTTATCAAATTTCATTACGAGCATGCCCTTTACATCAATAATAAGAATAAGGATGTTTTATTTTTTTAGCTTGTTGGTAAATGACTTAATCTTCACTGGAAACAATCTAAGCATATTTTGAGAATTCAAACAAGTAATGATTGAGGTGTTTGAGATTTGAGATGAGTAATATTGGGCTCATAGCTTATTACTGGGCATTGAAGTCAAACAAATGAAAGATGAAATCATTATCTCAAAAGAAGGTAATACTAAGGAAATATTAAAGAAGTTCAAGATGGATAATAGCAAACTTGTAGATATTCCTCTAAAAGATATATTCAAGCTATCAAAGAATGATGAAGGCGAGATAGTCTATCCAACATTTTTTAAGAGCCTAGTTGGGACTTTGCACTACTTAATGTGCACTACACTTGATATTCATTATGTTATTGGTCTTGTTAGTTGCTATATGGAGACACTAACTACCATTCACATAAAGACCACTAAAACAATCTAATATTGTATCAAAGATACAATCAACTTTAGTTTACTCTACTCATTTAATGATTTCAGGGAAAGATATATCGATAGTGATTGAGCTAGAGACATAAAAGATAAAATGACTACCACTTGTTATGTGTTATTCATTAGAGATGCATTTTCATCAAGATGTCAGAGAAACAATCAATTATTATCATATCTACTTGTGAAGAAGAATACATAGCTAAAACCTCAAGTATTTGTCATGCAATTATGCTTTTAAACTTGTTGAAAGAATTAATCTTTTCAAAAGAATAAGAAACAAGTATTCATATTGATAACAAGTCTGCAATAACACTAGCCAAAAATCTAATTTTTTTTAAGGTATAAGCAAGCACATTAATACATGCCATCACAACATCAAAGAATACATTGCAATGAAATAAGTGCAAGTTGAGTATGTGAAGTTACAAAATTAAATTGTTGATATGTTCAAAATTAAGTTTAAGATTGGGGTATTGAAAGTTAAACTTAATTTTTACCATGTCTAAATGAAAATTATATTCTACAATGTTGTCCTCCGAAAGGACACTGCTCATTACAGAGTGCAGAGGGTATACGACCGCACCATCCCGAGGGATAGAAATGATCGTAGGCGTCCATGCTCTTTGCAAGCGGGCCAATTGAAGGGCACATAGATTCGACATACGATCAACCATTGAAGATAGTGGCTCTTTCCAACGCACCCTGATGGGCGATAATATGCACGACCTTATCAGTGACATGGGGTTCCCCCACCTGATATATTAGCTCAAGTGGGATTTATTTGTTATGGAATTCTATTTTGCATGGGCACAAGCCCCCATGGTTAATTACATCTCAAGCTGGAGCTAAAAAAAACTCTCGATTAATGATTCGATATTAATCTTTCCTAAAAGGGATAGGCACAGAGAGTGGAGACTAAAAAATCCTACTCAAAGGGAAGAAAGATTCAAAGTGGCTTAGTCAACATTCATGGTTCACATTAATATCCGGAGAGACTGAGGCAATAAGAAGATAGTGAAAAAAAGGAAATAAATCATTCAAAGCAAAAAGAGGGAAAAGATGAAGGTGGCATCATCCATGTAACGTGGAGAAAAAAAAATGTAACGTGGAGAAGCAGCCAGGATTTATAGTCCTTAAAGAAAAGGAATTTACCCACCGATGAGGCGTACTACGAGACACTGAATATAGTATCCTTGAATCCTAGATCTAAGATGGGATTAGTGTTCTACATCCAATACTAATACCTTTGTCCTAGTAAATGCACATGGGCTTTTATCCTTCCTGAAAAGGAAAGTTAACTAACCACCTAAGTAAATAAAATCTATGTTGTCCAGTCTTTATGAAAGATAGATAGGTAAATCAGTTTTTAGAAGTAGGGCTGATATCTAGAAAGTTTTCTAATTGTCCTTGGACTTATGTATGATGAATGCTCCTAAAGATAATGTAATTAAAATTTTTATTTAGTTGGTTTCTAATGCAATGCATGCTAGTTGAAAAGGCTTAAATCAAGTATGCATGAGATTTTAAAATAGGCTTATAAAAATAAATTTTTAGAAGAGATTAAGCTTCCCCAGGTCTGACATCTCATCCTCAAATGTCAAATTATTCAGACTCTACCCGCAGGTGAGGAAGAGTCTTATTAGAAGGAGAGAGAAGAATATAATAATATGCATACAACCCCGGACAGTTTCGACTATTCCCTAGGTCATTAAATTTTTAGTTATTTAATTTAGATAAAATTAAATTTTAATTACTAATAGAAAAGGTTTCAGTCTTTATAGAGTTTAGCAAAAAATCAGGACATACACATGTAAGAAAGAAACCTAGAAAAAATATGCAAATTTTAATATGCACACAAAATAAACACATCAATATAAATCAGCTCAAATAAAGAAAGTCTAAAGCAAGT